TACTAGACCAGGTACATGTTCCGATCCATGGATATCTCTCAGTGTCCATCATCCGCTTCTGCATCTTACCTCACTTAGCTGGCGCCTGCATCTGTCTGACCGGTCGAACTAAGGTCAGCAGTAATAGAGCGATTAAGTGAGCGCGCCTTGCACGCGCCTGCATGATGGAGAATACGCAGCAGCGCCGAGGAACGGGAAAGCCTGCCATGGTGCCTAAGGTGCATTTGTAGATTACCTACGGAGAACTAGATGATGATATGCGGGCATCGAAGGCAGGTGGCTTATGTAACGCACTCTCCGAAGTACGTGCTTGCCTCGCTAGCAGCATGGGAATGTACGAAGTACCTATCCTTTGCGCTTTACGCGACCTGATCCACGACGAGAAAGTACCTCTTTCCGCGGTGCCTGCCTTATTACCAAGGGAGGGCGGGGGGGGGGGCGTGAGTCTGTCATGGAATATCGGGAAACTACCTACGAGAGCCCACCTACACAATCTCAGAATTCCTTACAGAGAGGCAACCTGCATTGAGAGCCTACCTATCTACAACGAATTCCCTTCATGCCGAGTCTGCGATACTTGCTTCCAAAAGAACCTCCTTTGTTGTATGATCACGTTCCTTCGACCGTTCAACGCTTGACTGGACTATTTGTCGTCAACTGAGCATCGAAATGGTATCCGTCTGGTATCCGTCCAGGACGATACATCGTCGACTTTGCTCGGACTACCTCACGAAGCAATTTTCCATCTGTGTCCGTGACAGAAGCGCGCCCTGTTCCTCACACTCTACTCGCACTAATCTGCCAGGCTACGTCCGTATGGAGGAGAGATCCGCTTCTCTGCCCATTTTCTACTGCCTATGATCAAGATCGCGCAAAGCCGTCGTCAATGCCAACGACACCAACCGAAGGCAAAGCACCAAACACTCGGTCAAAGTCTTGGAACCAGCCACGCCTCTTGACTGGACCAAACCTTCAGCACCTACCTGGAATGGTATTTCCTTGCTATCCAAGCCCTGTCGATAATCCAACACCTACCCCGTATGAGACGACGAGTTTTGTTCTAGGTGTTATCACATTGGCCTCGCCCTCTTGTCGCTTTGCCGCCAAAAGACATTTCGGAGGCTACGCTTCCTGCTCTCCACTCCATATGACTTTGAATATGGCAATGTGCAGTACTGTCTCTGAGTCTAGCTCCTCTGGATCTCTGGAGTTTCGCATGTACGCATCAAACCATGCAACTACAGCTTGGTCTAATCACCCTGGCGAGATGCTCACTGCACAAGAAGTCCAAAAGGGCTTCATCCGACACCAAAAGTCTTGGTTAACGCCCACCGAGGCCCGCTCGGAGCATCACGCCTGGATACAGAAGAGAACCATGGAATAGCGACCTGGCATTCAAGCAGGCATTCACGCCCGACCACCCTGCCTCATTCGAAAATCTTTCTGTTCAAATGCTGCTTGATACTTGATATCTCTCAGTGGGTGACCCGTCTAGACCCCCCTAGCCCGTCCCAGGCATCGACAGGGGTTCCTCACGGAGGGCTGCCCCCTGCCCCAGTCTCGCGACACTGCGACTGACTGCATTAGAAAAGAAAGCGGGCAGGATTGCTGCGGCGAAGTGGCTCCCCGGCTTGCGTAGATGAGGTGCGGGAGCGATCACTACCCATCGTTGAGCCCCAGAAGAGGCCTGGCGGTAGCCCATGCCGGCCACACTTGCCCACCATCTCACTACCACAACCACGCCCACCACGGCCATCACCCGAACCTCACATCCATGATCCCACGCTTTCACACTATGTATACTCAGCAATTAGAGTGGGGCATAGAGGAGTCATCAGCTCAGCATGCCATCTGGCATCAACGTCCATGATCAAGAAGTCGGACGAAGTCTAGTCATTCAGGTTCGAGCAAAGTAGCAATCACTGCTTCAAACGAGCAGGGCGAATCGTTTGCTGCTTCAGAGGAGTTTACAGCAGAAACAGCCCGCTCTATCCGCACTCTCTCCGGCTAGTCCGGCTTAGAAGGTGACTCGATCAGCGTCCTTCCGAACAACCTTGGGTCAGCTCCTCTCTTCGTCCTTCGGCGTCTCCTGGCCGCTTTAAGGCCCCAAAGCATGGGCTCAGACTTGATACTCTGATTCGACTCAGCTTCATTTCCGCCAATTCGAGAAGAGTGAAGCACTATCACTGGCAAATATGTCGTTTCCTGGTCCTCGGCAAGGTCTCCAAAAGCAGCATTCGTTCGCTCCTCGTCGAACGTCTATGAACATCGGCCAAGCGTCGGTCCACGGCGTGTGATGCGGCCCAAGTTAGCAGTAGCTGGCTTCGGTAGGCAAACTTCGAAACAGTGCAGAAGGCGGCTGGGCGGCCCTTCACTAACAGTATGGAGGATTTTCAGTCAACAAGACAGTCTCATTTGCCACCAGAAGAGCAGTCTGCTGTCACCTCAGTATTATACGCTTAATCACGCACGGAGAAAGGGAGCATCCCTACAAAGTAGTTACGAAACAACAGGGCGCATAGTTATTCTGTGTCTTCCTGACGCATCATATGCAGATAGCCCAACTTGGAATGTAGCACTATGCCATGGATCTGTTTCCCTCCGCCATACCTACGAGGAGTTGCAACTTGCAAGACTTCAGTTTGACGACTCTGGATCCTCGTCCCAAAGACTGCAAGAAACATTAAAGCGGCGATTCCTACCAACCATCCTTAGCTCCTCGGAGCTACTTCGAGGATCCCGTTACTTCTAGGTTGGCCCCGCTGGTCGAAAGCAGCAGTTTTCAGCATCACCAAGCTATTCTCGAAGCAGCAACAATGTGCCGAGGGAACCATGGGGTCAATTGTCCTTGACGTGAAACCTTGCCTGGGATGTATACGGCGCGCAACACACAGGCGTCTAACGATGCCTTGTCGACTTGCTGGTCAACCCAAAAGGAGTCTATCAACTTTTGGCTCAAACGTTGTGTAACATGAAGAGCAATCGAAACCAGAAGTAGCCGGCCGCTGTAACGATTCCTCCAACTATGGCAACCAAGTCTCGAGGCAAGGTAGTGCCATTCCGCTGCATCTCGATATCCGGTATCCGTACTCCGTACGGAACACACGCCAGACGGCCAGTCGAGTGAGGTCGACCGTCGGGCACAAAGTGGTTCAAGAGTAGAGGCGGGAAAATTCCCGACACTGACTCGCTCAATGGACAAGTCCCGTCGCCGCCCTCTTTTCTCGCACAGACACCGTTCTTGTCGCCATTAATCTGTTCAGCCAATCGCTCCAGTCTGCGTGCCATTCTGACTTACCATCGACTAGGACCCCAGCAATGGCGCACACGCTATCGACGTCGACCCCTGTCCACAATACGGTTGAAGGCGGGCGAAACGGATGGGATCAAGGATGGTCTCCGCCAAGGTGCTCCTGCTAGCCGAACGTCGTGCCTTTCACGGGGCGTCTGACTTCTGCAAAACGACGGCCTCGTCTCCGAGCATTCTTACACGAGCAAAGATGACATGCGGCCCTGGTCTCGACTCGTGTCTCTTGTCTCTTGATCGCCACGGACGAAAAGAGGTACTAATTTAGACTCAAACCTCACTCTGCATATTGATACCTTACGAGGGGCGTAAAAGGGTCATTACGGATCTGTAGAAGAGGAACTCAAGGCCCTAGCAGAAAGAATAATTGCGATGCTGCAGCAGCTACTTCGGCGTACGAATCATAACTCAACGGCAATGTTACAACACGACGCCTTCGTCAAAGCAGGCGCCGGACTTGAGGAGGCCATCGTTGCGTCGTCGCACACGGCTCTGACACAGATGAGGTCAGCCCGCAGCTCCTATTATCCTCCATTACCCGCGGCTTCCTCTCGTCTAGAGCTTCCTGGTAAAATGCTGCATGCCAGCCGCTAGCAATCATTTCGATAACATGAGCAATAATGGACCCGTTTATCACATCACGCGCCACATTTAGAGGCGCGACCGGTGCCGCCTAAGTTGGCTAGACAAGAGACATTTCGTCATCATCTCGACACTGGGGAAGCATTGCGGACGAAATAACTGCCAAATGTGTTCGTCGAGCTGAAGCGTCCTGTCTATCTAGCAAGGAGTCCGAACCAAACCTGGGCCAACAAAAACAGCACAGTCAGGACGGTGTACCCATCACATGGCCAGTCTTCAACAAAATCGTCGCAAGTTGGGGGATGTGAGATGCTACCGTCGGCGATTAGCTGACCGAAAAGGTTAGGTAGGACAAGGGCGATGCAAGACACTGCAGCCAAGTCAAGCAAGCAGGCTGTGCTGATTTGCTCGAGCTTGACTGGGATTTCCATTCATACAGGAAATGCGATTTTGCACACTTCCCCTCCTCCGGGGTTCTCTCGTCCAAATCATTGGGCTCTACTACCTGTCATTCTGTCTCGAAGAGAGCAGATAGGTTTCAGCTCACAGGCGACAATTATGCAGACCAGAAAGCAGCGAGTACCAGCTATAGGGCCGCGTACGGATAGGTGAGCATAGTGTCACGGATCTGCCTATGGAAAGTCACATATGTAATGCGATTGCCGACGGTCCAAATCGCAATGGCCATTACGGAGGAGTTACGCGGATCCGAGACCTTGGAGATGATATGCTCGGACAGCCGTTGTGCAAGAAGACAGGACGGCAGAGCAGAAGCGCATCTTGCATTGGCCACAAAAGCCTCTCGACTTGCATCGTCCCTCATCAGGCGACAGCGGAGCATGCGACTGGCAGCTCAAAGATGCTTTGGAGTGCTGCATGGGTCTCCATCGCTGACGGGCATCACGGACGTTCACACATCGACAAACGTCGTCACTCATTGGCTCCTGGCCTGTGGCCCTAGCCTGGTCTATATATCAGTATGCGCCACAGCTGAAACTCGATACCAACTGGCAACCCGTCATCGTAAAGGCGGCGATGGAAATGGACTTTTACAACCGAGAAGAGAGCGGTCAAGGAAAGCAACGACGCCATAGCTATCGAGACCGCAAAATGGCACTTGCGCGGAGACGGTGCTTCACTAGCTTCGTCTCGGCCTGTGCCCAACGACAAACTTCGAAAGCAAGACGCAAAAAAGAGCGTTTTTCTTAGTCGTGAAGAAGCTTCCACTTACTCGTGTCTCTGCAGCGGCCTTGGTCGAGTCTCGACGTCGACAAGCAAGAATTGTCGACGAGTGGATGCGTTTCAGCCGAGGTGGCTCAAAGCTGGGATGTGTGCATATCGAAATCGAGAACGAGGAAGGATTCCGCCGAGACGACTTCCGCAGGGCGGAGATGCCTCGGACATAATGGAAGCAAAAGACCGGTCAACCACAGAGGTCTCGCGTGGCTTCGGTCAGATTTCCCCGCTTGTTTCGCGAGTGATCATGATGGCCAGGCTCTTGCTTGTCGTTACCTCGCGTCAGGGTGTCGCGCCTCTACAACGCGTCCTCCTCGGCAGCGGCTGAGAGTGCAGATAAGGAGCGGAGGGACCACGGTAAGATATGCTGACGCTACTGCGAACCAGATGACTCAACAACTGGACAGTGCCCCGGCAGCACAACAAATCTGGACAAATCAAAAGATCAAGAGTGATGGGATCAGACATGCTTGTTCGGGAGGAGGAGACAGACTGTACGTGGGAATCTTCTGCCTCGGAGAAAGGTGGTGTGAAGAATCGAGCTTAGCTATACAATACAGCTATGTACTGCACGGTAACAAGTATGGCCCTGTGCCCTCCAACAAGGAATGAGCAGGCATGAGGCAAGGCATGGGCGGCAGCGATTGCGAAGATGGAGGGGAGAGCCATCGACGAAAGGATGGCCTACTGTGTAGAAACGCCTTGGCTGTTGGTTCACCCCGAATCCCCGTATGCGATTGGATCAACAGGTCACGTTCATGACCGACGCACAAGCCAAGAAAGAAATCATGGGTTCAAAAAAGACCCCACACTCATGATGGATGGACATCTGTTTCCTTTCGCATAGCATGAGCAGGGCACGGCCTTGTGGGCAGTTAACCAGGGGTTGATGGTGATGGAGGGGACGACCGGCGTGGTGGTGTACAGCAGACACCAGAGGTGCTGCTCCCTTTCCGTCCTTTTGGGATGACTTGATGCAAGCTAGGAAGCAGCAGTGCCTGCAATACTGCTGCAAGAGTAGAAGGCGATGAAAGGGTTTAGAGAAACGAAACAACGGACGAAGAGGGTTGTGGCTATGGGTGGGCGAGTTTCCACACCTCCAACCAATTTATTCTCCCCGAACGAGCCGTGCCAGTCCAAATGCACGGCAACAACCGAGAGGTTGTTATCGTGGTCCACAACAAGCTGCCGGTAGTGGATATGGATGGGTGGATGGGTGATTGATGGTGCAGAGAAGCTGCTGCCTCTGCTGCATCAGCCTCGGCAGGATAACCTCTTCCAACGATGTATGAGGACACAATACAGGGAGACACGGGCCCGTGGAGGCAGAGGATATTGCCAGGGGAGGTGCGGGTAGGTCATGGCAGTCACACATCTTGAGCTGTCCTGAGCTATCCTGAGCTGCCCTTGGCTTTCTTCTTTCCCGGCCTCAACAGCGGCTCATGGCCCTTGCGTCTGGGCCTCGTCTCGGGAACGGATAGCCATGTTCCTACTCTGGATGGGTGGTGTCGAGTACATGCCCACTGCTAGCTGTGATGGGTGGCTGTCAAAGAGAGAATGCCGGCACAGCGGCACCCAATGGTCTGGGGTAGAAGACAAGTGGGAGGGCTGGAGCAGAAGAGGCCGGCGAGGGGTGCTAGGTACATAGGTAGGTGCTTTCGCCAACGTTGAGGCTTGCCGCTTATCATGCTGGGGTGGACGCCAATCGCTGCCCATTGCTATCCGTATAAGCTATTTCCTTGTATGGGGTAGGTAGTGTGTTGTCTCGGTAGCATTAGTACGTGTCTGTGAGCTCATGTTGAGCCAGTGGTGAATGTGATGGGTGCTGTTCATTTCTACATCGAGGTTATCCTCTATTGCTTCCTGACGGGAATTAACAACACCAGTAAGTGAAGCCCACACGATAGATGATTATAGGGCCAAGTGACAAGCGAGCCTCGATCCGCCTCTGAACTACATGCTATCGGTCTGAAGAGAATTTTGAGAAGCCATGATGATGACGGTAAATTTTGGTCCTTCTTGCTGTTGATGGCTGAACAAGGCATGCCTTGACTGAGATTGGCACCGGCCGGGGAAGGTGACTGGGGGCCGTTGCTAACGGGACGGGAGACTGGATGGACGGGGGCGGGAACGACTTACACGGCGAGGGGAGTAGGTACTCTGTACTCCCTGACTGCGTACGGAGACCGGGGCAGTGACACTACAAGTTGCAAAACCTACCTACGTACCTAGTAAAGTAGTTACACCTTACAAGGTCTGGCAGGTGGACATGGCCCGCTGTGTTTCCTTTTTGCAGTGCGGGAACTACCCTTTGGACCCTGGCTACCCGCTCGTGCAGCAGCAGCAGCAGCAGCAGCAGCAGCGAACGCTCATCTATTCCCACATTCCATCTTTCAGGTTCTCCCCTCCATCCCCTCTACTACAATACACTGTACCCATCCAGTGCCATCCCTCTTCCCCCATCGAAACCCAGCTGCCAGTTCCAGTTGAAGAGGGGGGGGGGGGGGGCGGCCCTTTGTTCCCCCAGTTTGCGGCGTGCCTGACCATTCGCAGTTCTCACACCCCCTGAACCTCTTCTTCTTCTTCAGCCTCCTCCCATCACGCTCCCAAGCTTCCCACCTTCACCTAGGTACCTCCCCTCCCCTTCCCGTCTTCGACCTGCCCTGCCCTGCCTTGCCTTGCCTTGCCTGCCCACCCCCTTCCCCTTCCATGTTCCCTCCAACTGCAGAAGAGCATCTACATAGCTATGGAGATGATCTCGCCCATCACCTTTTCCTTTGTGGGAACCCATTCAGGCATGGTCGATTCCGATCTCCATCGCTTCCTGTTCGCAGACAACAGCCAGCAGCCAGTAACCAGCAGCACCAGCAGCCAATATACATCTGCGGGTGTCTAGCCGCTGTGGAGACACGGCCACCACCCTTCCCTTCACCACCACACCACCTCTTACACCACCATGAACCATCACACCCCCAGCTTAACATACTTACATATGTAAGTCATAATAGCTATGCCTCTGCCCCTCTCTATGGCCAACCCCCGTTTAATTGTTCATGGGCAACGGTTCACATCTCCTCATGTACGCGTAGGTTGGCGGCCTGCCATGCCCTCTCCAAGTTCCCTGGTGGAGGGACGGGATATATGCATGCCTTCATCGTTTGGTGGTTTGCTTTCTTTTTTTTCCCTTTTCCTTCATCTGGGTAATCTCTGATTCATGCTCTAGCGGGCCTACCGAGGGGACAAGAGGGGCAATCAAGACGATGTCACCCTTTCTTCCAATACGTCCAAAACACATCGTCATCCATTCACGTCTGTGTCTCTCTTCCCCTTCCAAGAGCTCCCATCTACCTTTTGCTACAACCATTAGACGCCGAAAGGGCCCTTAATGTTTCCTTCTTCATACGTCGCCTACCTCGTCTTACGGGCGGCCATGCGTAACGTAACCTAACCCTCGCCGGCGTCCGTGGTTTGTTTGATCGATCATCGCGGGACCCTCCAACCGGGTCCCATCGCCGACTGGTGTGCCATTCTGCCAGCCAGTGGCCGGCTTTTTGGGACAGACAGCCTCGGGGGCGTTCATCAACTCTCACAGATACACGGTAACCGTACCAGTCGGAAGGACAATTCGCGGTGCAATCGACACAGCGGTACCATCGGCACTTGAACATCACGTCGCTTCTCTCGGTTGCCATGGCCAGTGTAACTAACTACCTACCTACCTATCTACGCAATACCTTACACTGCCTTCCGGTCGACGGAATACCACCAGGACCAGGACCGACAGCGATGGACCTTGCTAGACGTTGTGTCCAGACACGCGAGAACCGCCATTGGCCCCCGTACGCTTCACCTTGGCCACTCCGTGGCGCAACATGTTTCTTTCAACGATTCCCGGTGGAGACGATTAACACATTTGTAAAACAGGTTTGGCCCAGCCCGTGACAGTCGCTTTTTTAGCTCCCGCCTCCGCACAGATGTGTGCGTGTGTGTGTGTCGTCGTGGATTTATGCCCCGTTCCTATTCTGTCTCGCCTTCCTCAGCTTACGGTATTTTACGACTCTTGCTCATAGCTTATTCAGACGACGAGCCGAACCTAGGGAGGTTGTTTGCTCTTGCTTTCATGCGCCTGACTCGTACACGCAATACGCTGCGAATGCGACGGGGCGTGGCCCTTGGTGTGGCTCTCGAGCCCCCTTGGACGTCAACCTCAATGTCTGCTGATGCCCAGCAACTTGATGCTGGAAGCACCAAGGCACTGCAGAAGAATAAGCTGCTTCGGCCAAGGTTTTTCAGGGTCCCACAAAGCCCACGTTTTCGAACTCTTTACCATCTGCGATGCACTGCGATGCAGGAAGAAGCCCCGAGTACCACAATCCCGGCCTCCCGGCCGAAACGATGTTTCTCTATTGTCATGACTTGGGAAAACTCTCATGGCCGAGCCGCTACAGACTCGATAAGCCCAGATTGGGTTTCTTCCTCAATTGGCCTGGCTCCGACAATTCTTCCTTTTGGACCGATGGAAGATGGAAGATGGAAGAACAATGGACAGAGATGTGAACGGCCCAGCCTTCTGCAGCCGACGTCTCATCTCTGGTTCCTGCTGGTCAAGCAAAACCGTTTTCTCACTCACATCCTGGTGCGTTCCCGCGCTTGGCCAAGAGTTCTCGGACGCCTGCAGAAGCCTGCCTGGCCCATGCCATGCCGCCCCCATCCCCTCCCCTTCCTTTCATGATTCTCCCCCGTAAGATCGAGGGAAGGGGACTACGGTTTCCAGCAGGATGCAACGCTGACATGAGGGCCGTTCCCGCCGTGGCCTCGCGAGCGATGCGTGCGTGCGTGCAAGTGTGCGTGCGCTCTCCCCTCCCCCTTGGCCGCCTGGGCCACGGAACCGGGGCGGCCGATCCAAGCAGGGCAACCTGACCTGACATGGCGTGGCAAAAGCGGCCAGAGGCCGGTTAGAGTCCCCGTAACCGTAGCCCTTTTCTTCATTCTTTCGTGATTCCTTCCTGTAGATCATATCATGGGCGAAGTAAGGTAAGCCCATTTGATGATTGATAACCAAACGCGGAATATCAGTAAGCAAAAGCTTTTACAATCCCGGTCTTCGCGCCGCTCTGATCCCTCGATTAATCGGTTTTCTGTTACGGATTTTATTCCCGGCGGCACACATACACACACCCCTCCCACGAGTTGGATTCTTTTTTCGAGGAGAAGGGAAAACGTCAAGTTTGAGGCGGCACACACTCTCCGAGCACATACACACAAACATCCACATACTTACAACCACACAAACACGAAAGACCAAGCACAAGGGGGCGTGTCTACGAAACAGGTTGGTTTGTTTCCCGATTGATGGGACGAAGTAATCCCATTCATCGCTTCCTTCGTCGTTCTTATTTTTGGATATTGTAGCTTCTTATTCTTCTTTCCCCCCTCCTCTCCTCTGTGTAACCAGCGAAAGAGGGTCAAAGTTACACAAGCTTTAATTTTTTTATTTTTATTTTTTGCTTTTATTTTTTTTCTCCCTCTTCCCGTCGTGGCGCCCGCCGTGCGCTCGTGGGCGGAACTGGGGGCGCGCAACGTAAAGAGACAGAGACTCGGGAACGACGCCGTGCGACCATGCTCGTCGGGGAAGACAAGAGACGACGCCGACGACGACAGAGGATCACACGGGGGAGTCGGGTAGCTTTGGACCCAGCGGGATTGCTTTCTTATCTAGGTAGTCGGCGGCTGAATCTTAACTCTACGCGCTTCTCGTGGGCATCTCCAAGTACAGCGATGCTTGAGTACGAGAGATTCGGCTCGGCGGCTTGTCGTATCTCTTTTTCGCAATACCCATCCGTCGGTCGACAGAAGGGAGAACGCGGCGCGCCATGGTGAGCCACCATGACAAGCCATTGAACAATCGAAGAGTGCCCGTATACGAGATTCCCTTGGTGACTTGACTCTCCTCGGGCCAGCCTCATCCGAGTCCCGCGTCGACTAGCACAAAGATTTTGCTTCCCGATGAGGCTGTCGGCGAGGACAAGACAGCCCTCCTCAAATTAATGGTGACAACACGGGTTGGCAAGCCTGTCGCATCCAGCTGCTGTCGAGAGGTGCGGACCACGATATTGATCTTGGGGTGCACGGCATGATGCGTCGTTCGGAAACGAAAGTCTGCGGTACGTACCTACCTTGGGTACACCAGAACTGAGGTGTCACGTCTGCCCGGTGAGGTGGTGACGGGAGGTGATGCAATGACGCTGATGGTTCCATTATCGATAAGAGATAGGAAGAACGGACGTTCTCGATAAGGAACCGTTCAAGCGCCACAGGCTTCCTGATTCGTTTGTCAGCCGCCCCACGGTGACCGCGCCTCACCTCACTTCAATTTTCATCATCAAAGAGTGCCCAGCCCAGTGTGAAGGGGCGGCGAAATAAATAAATTCAAAGAAAATTCATCGCCATCGTCGCTAACTCATTTTTTCGACAAAAAGGCGACTGAGAAATCGACAAGTCAGAAAAAATGACGAGTCTTAAGCGTTCGTTCGAGACGGACCCTTTCGCCGCCAATATCTCGAGCAAGGTCTACGTCCGTTCGACGAGAAAGGGCAAGGTTCAGAAGATTGTGAGGGAGGTTTACCTGCGTCAAGATATCCCCTGCTCGTCAAAGCTGTGCCGGGTCTGTCTGCAGACGGCGCCCAGAGATGCAGCCAACAATGGTGACTTTACCCCATTTTCGATTTACCGCACGAACATGACAACTAAACAATGCCTCCCAGTTCAACCCTTCGTTCTCTCTGACAAGCCGGCGGGGACAAAGGCGTTCCCCCAGGGGCACTACATCGTCCCCGACACCAACGCGTTGCTGAACGCCATGGACCTCTTTGAGCAGAGCTCGGCTTTCTACGACGTTGTCATTCTGCAGACGGTGCTCGAGGAGCTGCGCAACCGCTCGCTACCCCTGTACAACCGCCTTGTCGGCCTCACAAAGAGCGAGGACAAGCGCTTCTACGTCTTCTTCAACGACTTCCGCCTCGAGACGTACGTCAACCGGGAGTTCAATGAGACGGTCAATGACCGCAACGACCGCGCCGTGCGCAAGGCGGTGAAGTGGTACGCCGACCACCTGGCGCAGACAAAGGCCAAGACGGTGCCCGCCGTCGTGATGCTGAGCGACGACCAGGACTGCCTGAGGAAGGCCAAGACCGAAGGTGTCGCAGCCATGTCACTCTCCGAGTACGTCGGCGGTCTCGAGGATGGCGAGAGGTTGCTGGACATGATTGCCGAGTCGCGGAACTCGAGCTTTTCCAAGAAGCCCGCCGGCCCGATCTACCCGGAATACTTCACCATGTCGAAGCTGATGACCGGCGTCAAGGCCGGTCTTCTTCACCAGGGCATCTTCAATGTCTCGCCGTACAACTACCTGGAGGGTTCCATTCACGTACCCGCATTCCCCAAGCCTCTCATCGTCCTCGGCAGAGAGAACATCAACCGGGCCGTAAGCGGCGATGTAGTCGTGGTTGAGGTTCTGCCAAAGGACCAGTGGAAGGAGCCGTCGACCAAGATCATCGAGGAAGAGGCGGTTACGCGCGACGAGAACGCCGACGGGGAGGAAGCGCAGGACTTTGTCTCGGAAAAGGAGCGCAAGGCACTGCAGGAGGAGGTGAAGAAGACGCATAAGAACAGCACCGAAGGCCGGCCGCAACCGACGGCAAAGGTCGTCGGCGTCATCAAGCGTAACTGGCGGCAGTATGTCGGACATATTGACCCTTCGTCTGCGAGCAAGAGCGGCGGCCAGGGCCGCAAGTCGGACAATGTTTTCCTCATCCCCATGGACAAGCGCATTCCCAAGATCAAGCTGCGCTCCAGACAGGTTTCCGAGCTTCTCGGCAAGCGCTTGTTGGTCACGATTGACGCCTGGGACCGCGATTCCCGGCACCCCGTGGGCCACTTTGTGCGTTCGCTTGGTGAGCTCGAGACCAAGGCCGCGGAGACGGAGGCCCTCCTGCTGGAGTACGACGTGCAATACCGTCCCTTCCCCAAGACGGTGCTCGACTGTCTGCCAAAGGAGGGCCACGACTGGAGAGTACCACAGAGCCTGGAAGATCCCGGCTGGAGGGACAGAGAGGATCTCCGCAAGCTCCTCATCTGCAGTATCGACCCCATCGGCTGCCAGGATATCGACGACGCTCTCCACGCAAGGCCTCTCCCCAACGGAAACTTTGAGGTTGGCGTCCACATCGCCGACGTCTCCCACTTTGTCAAGCCCGCCAATGCCATGGACACGGAGGCCAGCTTGCGAGGCACCACCGTGTACCTAGTCGACAAGAGAATCGACATGTTGCCGATGCTTCTCGGTACCGACCTGTGCTCGCTGAAGCCCTATGTCGAGCGTTACGCCTTCTCCTGTATCTGGGAGATGAATGCCAACGCAGACGTCGTCGGCGCCCGCTTCACCAAATCCGTCATCCAGTCCAAGGAGGCATTCAGCTACGAGGCGGCCCAGCTGCGCGTCGACGACGCCTCGCAGCAGGACGACCTCACCAACAGCATCCGAACGCTCATGATGCTGTCCAAGAAGCTGAAGCAGAAGCGCATGGACGCCGGCGCCCTCAGCCTGTCCTCCCCCGAGGTCAAGGTGCAGATGGAGTCGGAGACGTCGGATCCCATCGACGTCAAGACGAAGCAGCACCTCGACACAATGTCCCTCGTCGAGGAGTTCATGCTTCTCGCCAACGTCAGCGTCGCCGCCAAAATCTACGAGGCCTTCCCCCAGACCGCCATCCTCCGCCGCCACGGCGCCCCGCCAAAGACAAACTTTGACGAGCTCTCGAACCAGCTGCGCGTCAAAAAGGGCCTCGAGCTCCGCGTCGACTCGAGCAAGGCGCTCGCCGACTCCCTCGACACCTGCGTCGACCCCGTCGACCCCTTCTTCAACACCCTAGTCCGCATCATGGCCACCCGCTGCATGATGTCCGCCGAGTACTTTTGCTCGGGCACCCAGGCCTACCCGGAATTCCGCCACTACGGTCTCGCCTCGGAAATCTACACGCACTTCACCTCCCCCATCCGCCGGTACGCCGACCTCGTCGCCCACCGCCAGCTCGCCGCCGCCATCGGCTACGAGGCCATCCACCCGGCCGTCCGCAGCCGCGGCCGCCTCGAGGCCGTCTGCAAGAACATCAACGTCCGCCACCGCAACGCCCAGCTCGCCGGCCGCGCCAGCATCGCCTACTACGTCGGCCAGGCCCTCAAGGGCCGCGTCGCCGAGGAGGAGGCCTTTGTCATGAAGATCTTCAGCAACGGTTTCGTCGTGTTGGTCCCGCGCTTCGGTATCGAGGGCCTGATTCGGCTGCGGGACCTCGCGGAGCCCGAGCCCGAGAGCACCTTTGACGCGGAGAATTATGTGCTTACCACGAGCGGGAGCAAGGAGCTGCGGGTGGAGCTGTTCCAAAAGGTCAAGGTCAAGGTTACGGATGAGAAGGATGAGATGACGGGTAAGAGAGGTGTCAAGATGGAGCTTGTTAGCGTTTGAGGGGGGGCGCTGTGATGTGGGAATGAGAATACGGAATTCTTGCGTGTTTTGAGATGTTGAAGTAGAAAGATGGCCAAAATTTAGCCAACCTAAAAGTTCAGAAACGAACGCGCTTACCTATGCCTACTCACGGTTTGCAAAATCTGTTATGTGAAATGGGAATAGAACGTGTCTTTACGCAGTTCCTATGCTTCGATCCTGTGTTTACAAGG